TGCTAGCAAAGAAAAACACATGATTTTAATATATTAAGTACATGTACTCCTGTTCATACACACAAGTAAAAGAGCTAACAATATCTTGGGAAAGAATAAACATTTGACCAGTGACCAAGCCGACGAAGCGATAATTCTCTCAGAGTTTAAGATTTCAGCATTGGCTATACATAAACAAAATATACGGCTCTGTTTCATCTAAACACATTAATTCTTTGACACACTAGATTATTCCTTTGAGCCTCGTTGAATGTGTTCTGCTCTGCTCTAAAACCATCAGAATTAACAGTGCTGAGCATCTAGTCAAGTACGGATGATTTTTGGATTGAACTAGGTGAAACACAGCTATTGTTCTCTTTATCAAATCAATTAATGTTTTATTATAAAAAAGCAAATAAGACACTGACTTGGCATATAAAATATACCTGAGGTCTGTCCAAAACTTTAATTAAAAAAAGAGTGTACGTCTCCTATCAATAATGTATATTTAATACATGGACATGTTAAATCATGCCAGTTTACAAATTAAAAATATACCCGGTAATACAAATTAAAAACACTACATAAATAATTATGTATATTTTGCATATTTTTAGAAAGTATATAGGATACGTTCAGTGGCAAGGGGGGTAATTTTGTAAGGAGCAGATTCTCAATCAAAGTTTCCTGTGTTAGGAAGCCAAAAAATTAGTATGGGCATGGACCCCACCCATCTCCACTCTCACCCCCCCCCCCCCAAAAAAAAGAATAAATAAATAAATTGAGATAAGTAAATGATGAATAATAAAAAATTAACAAAATACAGTAAAACATGATTTTTGCCAACACACTTATGTTGAATTGAGTTACAGCGAAGTGCTTTTATTCCCTGTGACTTAATTATGTATTTTTATCTTCATAACGATTTTCGCTCATAATAATGCAAAATCATCCGTCGATCCCTGGCACTGCTTTTTAAACATGTTTTACTTGTATTCAATATAATTAATCTATTTCCTGCCATGTACAGCATTTGAATACATATATTATATAGGAAATCAAAGAATTTCTAATTTTCCCGACTAATAATGAAAATTATGACTACGGTACTTACTTGATTTGTTTACGACACACAATCATTTCTCTGAAATGTTGCTGCAAGTAGTGTCATGAGGGTATTCGTTTTCTTTTACATTGAAATCCAGGGCATATCATTTTGTCTAAAATTAAAGTAAATTTTTCATTTTAATTTACTTGTATTTGGAAGTGTCTGACAGCTTATATTTTAGCAGGATTGATCAACTCTGACTAAGTTATTGATAAAATATTTTAGTTTAGTTTTTATGCAAACAAACCATACAAAGAATTTTCATAAATTGATAATAATATTATTTGCATACATACCTTAATAAATCCTTAGCTGTGAAGAACTGCAACATCCTGTTTTATTCAACAATCTTTCGATGTGATAATCATCTTCTGATTTGAAATCGTGAACATTATTGAAGGGTTGGGAGATGGATGTGTCCAAGACTGATAACACACCCAAGATTATCAGTGTGCAGTGTTTTGATTGACATTTCTTCAGTTAGTGGCACCACATGTTTCCATTCAAATATGTATGGAAGGGTCGCAGTTGCACATGTGAACAGCTATCATTTAAATGCAACTGTTCTTTGAAGGGGAATTCGAAATTGGAGAAATTAGACATCGATATATCTGTGTGTTATACTGTGTTATTCTGTGATAAAGTTATATAATTAGTTTTGGTCAAAAAACTCATGCGTGATGAAGTAAGTTAAGAGACACATGCATGATTTTCAAATGTCAATGGATGTTCAACTTATAGAGAATTTACTGGTCAATGCACTGACTTTTCATAAATTAATCTTGGATGAACTATATACTAAAAAAGCTAAGGGTAAGATTCTTTTCCTGAAAGATTTTTCATTTAATAGATATCATAAAATTTCAATTGTTAAAGAAAATTGTTTAATTTAGTGTAAGAAAGCATTGCTTTATACAACAGTTTTATAGCATAATAGTAAATGCAGGGGATCAGGGGAATGGTACAACTTTTTTGATCAATTCCTTGTTGTAAATTTATGTCTTTTGCACGATTCAAACAGTTGCCCTTTTTTCTCATTTAAAATAATAATAAACATTTACTCTTTATTCAGCGTGAGATATACATTCCTATATATTGATATCCAGAGAAGGTACCTCAAAATAAAATGTAATCATGTATACTTCTAAAGGAGTGGTACCAACGAGTTTAATGTCTGTAATAATAAGAGACTTTTCACAAAATTGAGTGAAAAATGATTTCCTAAAATATTAATTGTCAAGAATGGCACGTACTTGATCTTGTGATCGAGTTATGACCCCCAATTTAAAAGTTGTCATATATTTCTTAGGAGGACTACAGATCTAGACTGCATTAAATTATTTTTCAAACAGTAGAATCTCAAGTCACTTCAATATTGAGTAAACAATACCTTTCTATTTCTAGATCAGTTTGAGCCTTGTGCTTTCACCTTGTAACCCAAAATCAGTAGGGGTCTTCATTCCTTTGGGAGTACCATTATACTAAGTTTGATGTCTGTAAAGCAAAGGGTTCCCAAAATTTTAAGCAGACATTATTTTTTTGTGTCAGAATAGTCTCAACCTTGAAATTTGACTTTATGAAATCAACAGGATTATCTACTCTTTTACGTTAGGGAGTACCTGGGTGTACAGCTTTCTTCAAATCCAATTATACTCCGATTCATATATAAAGTTATATAATAACATTTGAAATCAGAAGAGGAGTATTCGACATGAATCCATTGTCAACAGTTAGAAGAGGAATTGTTTGTCCAGTCCAGTGTCAAATTTTGAAATGGGGAGAAGAACATTTCATTGTATTAAGATTCATGGTAGTAGTGTTTTGATAGGAATTGGTAGAGGAATGTTCCTCAAATGTACTGTTTATATACATGTAGTATGTATTATCAATTGAAATTGACTGATGAATGTTTGTGATATTGTGTGTTAAAACTTGTAAATACAGTGTCAAGTTGAAAGAGGAACGTTCCTCCAGTGTATATAGTATCAATATTTAAAATTGGATAAGGAATGTTCCTCAAATATGCTATGTTTAGGCTAGTAAATCCAGTGTCAATAGTTTGAAGAGGAACGTTCCTCCAGTGTACATGGTGTATATATTGTATCAATATTTGAAATTGGAAGAGGACCGTTCCTCTGATGCCTAATATTTGAAAATTTATGAGATGCCTACGGTAATAAGTAAATTTGAGAGATGAATGTTCCTCAAATGCCTGATGCGTTCATTCATAAGGTATTTAAAAATACACACTGTATGTGTACATCTGTAAGAGAGGAACGTTACTCAAATGTCTGGTGATAATAAATGCATCTTAGTTCAGAGAGGGGAATGTTCCTCAAATGTCTGGTCATAACAAATGTATCTGAAATTAAGAGAGAAGAACGTTCCTCAAATGTCTGTTCATAACAAATGCATCAGAAGTACAGAGAGAGGAATGTTCCTCACATCTCTGGTCAGAACAAATGCATCTGAAGTTCGAGAGAGGAATGTTCCTCAAAAGTTTGGTCATAACAAATGTTCAGAGAGAGGAACATTCCTCAAATCTCTGGTCATAACAAATGCATCTGAAGTGTAGAAAGAGGAACGTTCCTCAAAAGTCTGGTCATAACAAATGCATCTGAAGTTCAGAGAGAGGAACGTTCCTCAAATCTCTTGTCATAACAAATGCATCTGTAGTGTAGAAAGAGGAACTTTCCTCAAAAGTCTGGTCATAACAAATGCATCTTAAGTGTAGAAAGAGGAACGTTCCTCAAATACTTAAAAAAAATCTTCAAAAAGGGAACTTGTGGAGACACATATAAGGATCTTAAGACCAAAATGACTTCAGATTGTAAACGTTGGGTGAAAAAAAAGGAATTTTGATTTTCCCTTTTTGTTTTGGATTGTGTTTATAACTGATTTCCCTGGTGACATCCGTTGCAATTAAATGACAAGGAACTTAATATAAATGATATCATGGTAAAAAATTGTGTTTCCCAAATCATGGATTTTTTAATGCATGAAAGTATACATGTATGTCACTCTGTGTTAAGGTTAAAACTTAAAAAATGTAAGAGCAAGTCATTACTCAGTAGATCAGATATCAGAAGACATCTTTTTTTTCCTTCTTCAAATTTTTATGACTGTCCTGTATGTGTTTAAATCTAATACATTGTGGTAATTAAAATGAGAGATTTTTGTATAGATAGCATGCTTTTTTAGTAAAAAAAATTTTACTAACCAATTAATGTTTTTTTTTTTTTTTTTTTGATTTTTATTTTATTTTTTTTTTTTTTTGCGAAATTACTTTTTTAAGAATTTGGATTTGCATCAATCTTAATTTTTTTTCCTATCCAAAAAATTAAAAAACTGACAGCATTTATTTACAAGAAAAAAGAAAATCACAGCACACAGGGTAATTCAAAGGCTAGGAATTTGTAGGAAAGATTTGGTCTGCATTAAAATCCAATTTAAGATTAAATTGGAATCTTTCATATGATAATTATTCATGCTAAAATGCAAAGGAAAAAGGGGAAAAAGTGAAGATTATATGCACTATTGGTATAGAAGTGGACTATTGTGTTGAAGCAAGGTAACTAAAGATTTAAGAAAAGATAATTGTATTCAACCAACTATCCTCCGTGCTAGTACTTTCTTTAAGTTTTTCACAAATTAAAAGACTTGCAGAAATTTTTTTTTGCTTGTGGTATAAACAGTTTCCTTTTCTTGTTAAACATAGTCAATAATTTTAAGTTTAATACATGTTCAAAAAAAAAAAATACCTGGTACTTTTAAATCCCCCCCCCCCAATTTCAAAAATAAAACAAACTTTTGGAGTCTCAATTATTGAAAACCCTTGTGGAACCTGAGAAAGTCACACACACAAAGAAAAGTTGGTTTGACCTCCACAAAAAATATTTTTACACACTCTCAACTTGGTCTGTTGCCACAACATTGTCTCCATCCGAAATATTCATGTATTTCAGTGGGTCAAAAACGTCCTCCTGAAATGGGTTCTGTGACTTCTCGGGTTTAAACGTGTCAATCCCAAAGGGATTGTCCAAGTCCTGTACATGCAGACATTCGGACTGGGAGTGGCGGTACCTGTCCGTCCAAGCAAAGGAGGAGGGAAGGCCCTGGGGGGCACCTTGGGGGAGCTCTGCAAGGAGAATACATGGGTGGATCTAGGATCTAGGTAAAATATACATGTACCACATAGAATATTTTGTCATCACATGGGGGTTGGGAAAGAAGTTATAAGCATAATTTCTTTAATGCATAAGGTTATACAATTATAAGCAAAGCATTCATATATATCACAGTCACAATTAAATATAATAAGTATATCTTGAAGTGATAGGAATTTTAGTGAGAATTTTTAATGGGAGCACTCAAAGTTCTCTGTAGATTGTAATTGATAATTACAGTGCTGAGATATCTACTGATTTCAGACGTCACTTTCTACTTTGCTCTTCAAATATTTTTCTCCAAAACTAAATTTACACCTTGGATATTTCTCTACTGATATCACAGATATCAGCTGACACTTACGACTCTGGGCTTTTTGTAGGTAGGTAATTAATGACTTGGCCGCCACAGGATCTTTTAATAGGACCCTGATGTTCTTGCCTCCCACAAAAAGATCAACCACATGTTCAGCTGAAATGATAATTTATTTAATGTTTAGTAAATTATGAAAAAGTATTTTTTTAAAAGAAAAACAAATTTTATTAAAAGTATTAAAAAGTCTCTTTCATCACATGAAACAAAAAGTCTAGTACAGAATTTAAGACTTTAATATATCTAAAACAGATGTATAATACAACAATTGATATAAATAAATACATTCAGAATTATACACTTTAAAGATTTATTTCCATAAATAATAGATTGATTATAAATATAAAAACTTTATACAGGGAAATTTTCGCCCCTTTCGCCCTACCCAGAGGTGGGCGAATTTAAAACGGGGCGAATTATAAATAAATAGCATGATTTCTTAAACAGAATTGTAACTGAGCGAATTTAAAACAGGGCAAACTTGTTTCCGAGTGTGAAAGGGCGAAAATAAAATGGGGCGAAAATAACCCTGCATACAGTAATGTGATTAAATAATGAAGAATACATATGAATGGGGTAACATACTGTTTTTCAGAGGATCAAAGTCATCCAGAGAAGACTGTCTGTTGACATTGTCTGTAAAACAGTCAGAAAAACAACTGATTATACATGTAGTGTAAAACACAGAGAGAGAGAGAGAGAGAGAGAGAGAGAGAGAGAGAGAGAGAAACACTCAATCACAGCTCCAGATAATTTTTTAGTGCATATTGCATTATTTCACTCCTGATTTTTAATTCAATGCTGCAGATTTTGCTTCTCTGGGCAAAAAGCTAAATGTATCTAGCTATCTTTAAAAAAATAACACTGAGTTTACCTCAGTTATGTCAAATTAAATATGTGGAACTTTGAAACCAGTATTCAATCTGTTGCACACATAACTTTCCAAATGAAATGCATATTTACAAATGCTAATTGTATAAACTGTATGCCCATTTTAAATTTTCTTTTGTCTTTTGTAAAATTCAATGCATCTGTCTTCAAATAAACACCTTATCTGGAGCTCTGAACTGTCCCGATAAACAAAATCAATACAGCAAAACTCGGTTATAATGAAGTCACAGGGACGTTTGAAATTACTTCGCTATATATGTAATTCTTTATAACTATATAAGATATTCATTAAATTTATATAACTGGGGATCCAAGATGACTTCGCTATATCCATAAATTCACAATATCCGTGTTCGTACAAAATGAGTTTTGCTGTACAATTTAAATACAAATTGAAGTTCACAATCAAAAAAGAAAAAGAAGTTGAAAACTCTTTTCTCCCTCTGCATGCAATTTAAAAAAAAAGGAAGTTATTTTCTCTCATCTCTTTGTCAAGTTCATGTGGGAGACATGCTGACAAAGAGATAAAAAACATAATTGGGTAGAGACATGTTATAGAGACCAGGTACTAGTATCCCTCCCCCCACACACACTTCATTAATAGTTTGGTATTAATAATTGTGATAATACTATAAGGATATAAACAGTATACAGTTCTATGTACTTGATCATGAGTCACATGCTCATAGTAAACTATACACCTCACATGATAAATAATTAAATATATTTTAAATTTAATTAATAATAATTAAGATTCCTCTTTTTCTCAAGTAATTAACGAGCACGGAGATCAAGATATCACTTAACCTCTACGAGTTCACATGATTGAATAATTTAGTAATTCACATGTTTAACATATTATGGGAATATTGATATGAAAAATACAGTGTAATTTCTTAGTTAATCTTTTTTCCGATGAAAATGAAGATAGAGATGCATGGTAATTATGTCTTTGTGATGTTTGTCAACTAAAGAACAAGATATAATGAGCCCACTAATGCACTCTTGATCAATAATACTGTCAGATTCTCAGACCATATACATGTATTATTATGTTCATATAGGCCAGGATGGTACAACATTTATCAAGGCAGAGTATCCCCTCAAAAAGAGCATATGCGTTTCAGTAAATCAAGGCAGCAATTGATCTCCATGTAAATTACATCACTTCTATTTCACACAGGACATAACCAACAAACAAACACACACACACACACAACTGTATTACTATGTGACCTTTCCAACACTGTTGTGAGGGGATTATAATGAGCTCAGACACTACAAAAAAATCTGAGGCCTGTTCAACAGACCAAATGTTCATGAGCACTCCCCAAAATTCCTTATACCTCCAATAAAAAAGTTCCCGAGCACTTGCTCTTTCTCATGGTTTGCATGTGTTGTGCAGTGCTTTTTTGTTGACTTACTTTGTCGGAAATGGAAATCCTCGTTAATTTTGATCACATCCTCTACAGATAAATCATTCTCACTGGTGCAGGGGATTCCCCGGGAAGAAAACAGGAATAACCTAAATATAAATATAACATAAAAATAAAATGACCTAAAAAATGATACCCCACAAAAGTGTCTGAGTTTGTCATATAAGTCACCTACTGTTACCTTCTATTTTAAATGGATAACAAGTTATCTGTAAAAAATTCTTTAATGATAAAACATTTGAAATGATTTTGTTGTTGGTGGTGGGGTGGGGGGTAAACCTCAAACTTAAGAAATGAAAGCTGGGTAAATGTAACTATAACTTAAATTCTTTATGAAAGGTGTACATGTTCTTTATTTTCTTGGTAATTACCAGTAAATTTTTTCCCCTAGAAAATTATGTCTCAAATATACTCACGCTGTATCTGCCTGTTTCTGTACAACTGCGATGTACCGTTCTGCTTGGATGTTGTCCTCTATGATCCGACCCAGAACACAGTGCAGTAATTAAGGAAGCTCATGCAGTAGGTCATTGAATTTTTACTTGACCAATAGTACTAGACTAAGTACATGTATACCATCTTAAGCCACATTTAATCATGATAATATTATAACTACATGTTTTGTAATTATTTTAATGCTTTGATTTTTAAAAGTGGTTTAGGTATAATAAAGAATAAAAATTATATCTGTTCAAAAATTGATGACAATTACCGGTAGACTCTATAAATTACATAAATCAGTAAATTCCTGTATTCAAAATTTAGTGCAATAACTGGGAATTGAGATTTTGGCATATTCAGGAATTAGCACTGCATAGGTCTGCAACATATATATTATGTATCAATGATTTATTTTTAATGGTATTCATGAATCAGTGCATTTTGCAATTAATATTATCTCTTTTAACAATAAATAGCTACATATTTTGGGCTAAAAATTATAATATAATCATTGATAACCAGTTCTTCTAATAGAGTTTTGTAAATTAATGATCTACATTTTTTCTGATGCATTTTACACAGTATGGTAAACACACAGAAGAAGAAATCTGGAGACAACAGAGATAATGAACACTTTAAAGAAATCAAGGGGAAGGTACAAAGAGATCTAAGAAGAGCATACTGGAACTACATCGAGGGAATAGTAACACCTAAGGTAGAGGATGAGCAATATAGCGGCCTAAAACGCTTCTGGACCTATATAAAACACCAAAGAACTGACAACAATGGAATCTCACTAATCCGCAGTGAAGGAGTGCTACATGCCAATCCGACTGACCAGGCAGAAGTGCTAAACAAGCAGTTCCAGTCCGTATTCTCAGAGAAGACACATATCAGTACTGAAGAATTTACTCGTGACTGTCCTATGAGTGGAAAACACCCAGTTGCACCAGAACTGCACATCACCCATAATGGAATTCTAAGACTATTGAAAAATCTGAATCCATATAAAGCAGCGGGCCCAGATGGTATTAAACCTAGAGTACTGAAGGAGCTGGCTGACAGCGTGACCCCTATTCTCACCATCATCTTTAAGAAATCCCTAGAAAGTGGAGAGATACCGTCGGAGTGGCGTAAAGCTCATGTTAGCCCGATTTTCAAAAAAGGGGATAGATACAAGGCTGAGAATTATCGACCCATCTCCCTTACATGTATCTGCTGCAAGCTCATGGAGCATATCATCACCAGCCATATAATGCAACACGCTGATACCAACAACATACTATACCCACTTCAGCATGGTTTCCGTAGCAAGAGATCCTGTGAATCCCAACTCATTGAGTTTATAGATGACATAACCAATCATATGGCTGCCGGAAAGCAGACAGATGTATTGATCATGGACTTTTCCAAGGCTTTTGACAAGGTCAGCCATAGCCTCCTCATCCATAAACTCCGACATTACGGGATCCAGGGAAAAGTGAACAATTGGATTGCTAGCTTCCTGTCCAACAGAACACAAGCTGTAGTAGTCGAAGGAGAAATGTCCAGCTATGTCAACGTTGACTCTGGAGTGCCCCAAGGGTCAGTCCTTGGGCCATGCTTATTCCTGTTCTATATAAACGACATGCCAGAAGGCCTCAATACCGCAGTAAGACTCTTTGCTGATGATACCATCGTATATCTTACTGTCACGTCAGAACTGGACACACAGACACTCCAGGCAGACCTTGATAAACTGGGCATTTGGGAAAGGAAGTGGAAGATGGAATTCCATCCTGATAAATGTAATGTACTATCAGTCAGCAGGAAGCCAAACCCAATACATCACGAATACAAGCTACATGGCCATACTCTAGAACACGTTAAAAGAGCGAAATACCTCGGCTGTCTTATAACATCAGACTTGAAATGGAGCGATCATATAAGTAACATCTGTAGCAAAGGAAACAAGACCTTAGGATTTCTCCGCCGAAATTTAAATATCAGCTCAACATCAATAAAGGAGAATGCGTATAAGTCATTAGTTAGACCCCAGCTGGAGTACGCAGCACCTGTCTGGGACCCCTACACCCAAAAAGACACCCATAATCTGGAAATGGTCCAACGACGTGCTGCACGCTATGTAAGCAATAGGCATGGAAACAGGTCAAGTGTGGACAGCATGATACAACATCTGCAATGGCAAACACTGGAAGAACGTAGGCGAATCTCCAGACTCGTCCTGTTTTATAAGATCGTTCATGATGAAGTTGCCGTTACCAAGCATGATCGACTTATTCCACCACTACGTCGATCACGACATACTCACCAAGAAGCCTACCAATTACCATCTTGTAAAAGTGACTATAGAAAATTCTCGTTCTTCCCTCGTACCATCAAAGAGTGGAACCACCTACCACCAGAGATTGTCATGGCAAAAACACTTGAGACCTTTAGGTCTCAGGTGACCACCTATATGCCATGAATCATAATTAATATTTTAACCTTTTAACCTTTTAAATTTTTATGATTTTGGAACTCCATGCGCACCACACATGCCATAATAATCAACTAGTTGATTGTGGGCAGTACATGGCAGAAGCAGAAGCAGAAGCACACTGACAACTAAGTTTTCTTTCCTCATTTAACTGATCATTGTATATTAAAGCATATATCAAAAGTAATCATGCTGCTAACATGATCTACTATATGAATGATCAAAGTTACATATAGTGGCCTATATGTATACAGTGGCCTATATGTGTACAGTTAATAAGCTTCCTCGAGAACAGCGCCTACTAATCCGGACATCAGGAAGTGAACAGCCGACTTCCCCCTACGACTTAATGTTTAAACGACCACACTCGTACACTGATGTTGTACCGGTAACTACAGACTTCAGTGTTAGTGATTGTCTTTCACTCTTAATTCATGTGAATGCAATACATAACATTTTAATTCTGTGCATAAAAATTGAGATAATTAACTATGTTCAAAGCTTGATTAATTTCAGTTAATCAATAAGTTAATGTTAGAATTTCTAAAAATGATTTTAAAAAGACTGTGGTTTTTGTTTACACTGTGCTTTTGATTTATATCCTTATATGAAAAAATATGTGGTATAGATTTAAAGGTTATCAAGCAAATAGAGTCAGTTCAATGAGCCTACTTCAGTGCATGATATAAATTATTATCAAGGTACATGTAAATAATCTTGAGTGTTTCCTACATGTCCTAATTTGGAAAATGTAAGGAACACTGAAATATCACAATGTGATCATTCTGGTTTGCAAATAAAATACAAGAAAGACAAACTATTTCCATGATTAAGGATCATAGTACCTATCCAAAACTGCCAATAGACCTGAATGTTAAAGGATATATACAGGACTTTTTCGTCTGCTCGCAATCGTCTCCTCACAAATGGCGTGACCTCCATTCCGCGTGCAACATTATCAGTTTGGATCCATTCAAGCGTATCTTTGATTTATCACTATTAGGAATTCACCTGGGGATGTGATCAAGTTTCTTACTTGTATTTCGCATTCAATTTTTGTTTTCGCAGGAAATTGAATTTGTCATAGTTGCAGTTTCTGTATCTCGAACCCGATCGAGGAGAGGTGAATAACTAAGTGTATTAGGTTTAAGAAATATTTGATATTACCATATATTTTTCAGTACTTATTTTTTAACATTGACCAAATTATTCAAATATTGTAAGAGAAATATGACTGATTTTATGTAGCATGAACATCAATGCTTACTATATTTCAGTCGGAATCGTGGTTCACTTTATCTTATTTCCAACGCGGCGATAAAAATTAGAAACATGTTCAGCGAGGAGGAAATCTTTTATTCTGTCTTAGTTTTCCTCTGGATCGTCTATTTCTGGGAGTCTTATCTTTCCTCCAGACAGGTGTTACAATGATTACTGATCTGCTGTTTTAAAAATATTTTCTTTTGTCAATAATCAAAATTTTATGGGTATTTTTTGTGTTTGGAACAGCAAGATGCCTGATGACATATTGGAATATTAGGCTAGTATTTGTCCGAATTACTATCCCAAACAAGAGAGAGGAAGAGAGAGGAAACTTCGTACATCTGTCTGTTGACATAGCTATTTCAGACATAGGAATACTGGAATACTGAGATGGCAGCCAATACAATATTATTACCCTTTTCAGTATTTTTTTTTATTATTATTGTTTAATGTCCCTCTCAATAATTTTCCACTCCTATGGAGATGCCACCACTTGCCCGTGGAGGGCTTCAAATATATACCTTTATTCAGCACTCAAGGTGGTTGAATATTGCAGGATTTTTCTTCATGCCAACACCTAATGTGACACAGGACCTTGGTTTATACGGTCTCATCTGCAGCACCTGTGTCCATGGCCCACAGTGAATTTGAACCCGTGACGTAAGGATAAACTTCTTAGAGCAGTCACTTAAAAATCGATTTTTCTCACCGTAGTTTTTAGGTTGTCAGCTAACCAAACTATGTATCAAAATGTTGGGGTTGTTATTGCAATAATCAAGTTTCCTGATAATACTAGATTCTTGAATCACACCCATTTTATTAATGTATCCGTAAGTGGCTGTCATTGTCAGTAGTGAGCACCCAGTCCAAGGTTAACTAGTGCTTCCATATAAGTTGACCAATCATGACGTTGTTCTTCTTGAGAAGAGTCTCCTATGATTTGTAGTTGGATATGAATTTTATTCAACTCATTGTGTTTTTTTTATCCCATTGCCAAGTCTCCGGGATAAATCTACTAATACTATCTGACATGTTATTAAGATTGTGATTATGGTTTCACTGAATTAAATTTGTCAGTGAGTTAAATGTTATCTTAAAAAAATTTAACTAGAAAAATTATAATTTTAATTTTTTGTATATTTGCAGAAGTATCTTGCTAAAACAGTAACAGAGGTTCCAGCAGAGCTAGAAAAAGTACTGGACCAAGAAACATTCACCAAAGCAAGGCTCTACTCACTGGACAAAAGTACCTTTGGTTTCTGGTCAGGAATTTACCACCAGCTAGAGTCTACGGTAAGAAAGATTAAAGGCCTGTATGTCTGATGTATTTAGAAAGATTGGGCTTCTGGTCAG